TAATCCAATTGTGATCTTCGCAGTGTTATATTGTGATTGGTTTTTGGGAGTATGTCAGAGAGAGAGAAATACTGTGTGGATTCTCCCCTTCTGTGCATGGTTGCTATTCCACTGTTTATCTCTGGTCTGTGTGCAGTGGGACTCTGCCTCCTCCTCCCCTTTTTCTCATGCATGTATGGGCGTGTGTGAGTTCTACTGAGTGTGAGTGGCAATCAAATTGTCAGACAACCAAGTTCATAACACTTGTCGGCAAGAGATTGCAAGATGGACCAAAAAAAAATGAGAGAGTGGTAGATGACAGAGGGGCTCCAGGTGAGTGGACAGTGGGGTGGGGGAAGGGAAAATCACCATACACCTTTGTTTCATCAGGACTGTTTTCTCAGCAGCTTGGGTGTGACGATCCTGGTCGTGATCTTTGTTGTATGCAGGACACGGATGGGGACTTCAGCGTTCACCCATTCCACTGTTGAGGAGCTTACTCCTCTGTAGTACTGGTAACAACTCAAGGAGACATTAATTTGTGTCCATGTCCGTGTACACCATTCTTAGGATTCACATCACAGTTGATCAAACATTAAGATAGAGCCACAAGAGAGTGGCATTTAGCAGTTTCATATTTATTTCTCAGGAGTTTCACATTGGGGTTTTTGCCCCATGCACCCTTTGAGAGGTAGGATATAGAGCAGTTGCTGGTGCCTTTCTTGGTGCTTCCAGCTCAGATCTCAATCACCTACTCGATGCAACCAACCTTATTCACAGATCTTCTTCAAGTTCTTCTTTTTTCTTCTTCCTTGCCCTTCTTCCTCCCCTGGTCCTCGTTCCTTATTCCTTGTGTTGGTGAAAGCAGTGTCAGTGATGTCGACAAGTACGGATGAATCTGTGATTGGAATTCAAGGGCCTATTGCTTCAATTCATGCGAGGAACCTTGGATGCGAGTGTTCTTTTTCTTCTTCTTCTGCCTCTCTCACTTTTCCTCCAGATGTTGGCGAAGGTATAGTCGATAATGTGGGCAAACATGGACTAAAGGAGAAAGCGTGAACGTAGGATAGTCCCAGGGTGGTCATCCCCGGCTTATCAGGCAGTCATCCCCCCAGGTCTTGGGTGGTCATTCCTGATCCTGGTAACCCCCCAGGCCCAGCTGGTCATCCCTGGCCCTCAGGGTGGGCCCAAGGTGGTCAGGGGTCCTGGGGTGGTCCTGGGGTCGCACTAGTAATGTATGCATGTGTGTGTGTGTGTGTGTGTGTGTGTGTGTGTGTGTGTGTGTGTGTGTGTGTGTTAAATTTTCACCACAACAGCCCCTATTCCACCCAGATGAGTAGACGCAAAATCCAAGCAGCTTTAATCCTATTGCAAGGGCATTCGAGTTGAGACAATCCAACAATAAAACAGTTTCACCTCTTTAGCAAGCAACATGGAGTATAATAAAAGCGTTTAAACTTTAAATCCCTTTCTTAATTGTGTTCATTTGTTCTTGCAGCTCCACTTTTACTTTGCCTCTTATGTACAAGGCTCGCCACATTGATTGTGGTCGAGTACGAGATGCCCACATCCAGGTGTGCCACAACGGCTCACTTGCACAATACGAAAGGAGGCAGAATGCAGGCAGAGGTATATTCCTGCTCATTTCTCCTCAGACCTCCAGCCTATATTTTGTCTGTTCTCTTAATGATGCTCATTCGTATGCATTTACTAGTAGTACACTAGAAGAGGAGACAGGAAATGGGAGATGAAATTCTGACAGGTTTCTACATAGTCACCACTGGAACAGGTTACTCTAGAATGGCACGCCGGGCCAGTCAGTGTTTGGGTTGCATAATATTTTGCATCGAGCAGCAGTCGTTCCCTACGGTAAGTAGCCGCCAGTCTGTGGACTGTGGAAGCACCACATCCAATTCTCACAGTCGCAATGGCACGCCGGACAGGACTGGTTCGGATGTGGACTGTGGAAGCACCACATCCGATTCTTGCAGTCGCAATGGCACGGCGTAGACAGATGTCACAGGCTACTTGGCTCCTACATGCAGGGAACACAGACACGACGACCGCAGTTGTAGAGGAATTGTCGTTCCAGTCCCTGTCTACAAGTTGGACATGACGCATCAAGGTGCCGCACATGAGTGCAGTATTGGTTGTCATCGTACGTATGAAGACGAAAACTCGAATGGGCTTTGTAGAGGCATTATCGTTCCAGTCCCTGTCTACAAGTTGGACATGATGCATCAAGGTGCCACACACGAGTGCAGCATTGATTGTCATCATACGTATGAAGACAAAAACTCGCATGGGCTATCCCTCGTAATCCTCACAGCACAAGGCATGCAAACCACATGCTAGCTGAATCAACGGTGGGTCATCGCAAAGCAGAATTGAGCAGGTTTCTTGGGTTCCCTCGGTATTTATTCCCTCTCTATGGGCAGACAGCAAAAGGGATTGATCGAAAGCAAGGGTGTTTAGCTGCTGCAGAATTTGGTCTGCAACAGCTTGCCCTGGTGGTGATAACTTATCAATACAGCACTCTCTAGGTGGTTCATATGGTAGTCTATTTTCCTCCTCACGCTGCTGCGTCTGTCGTTCATCAGGGAAGGAAGAAGGAAATCCGTCTGCGGTTGCAGTAGGTGTATGCCCAACAACGTATCTGGGACATGCTAGGAGAGGGTGTGGCGGATGATCGCTCCGGGGATAGTCCATGCAGTAGAGACACATATTTTCCATGACAGCTTCCTGGAAACATTGACAACACATAGCGTGTTGCTGACATGGCAGCTGCGTGTGTGTGTGTGTGTGTGTGTGTGTGTGTGTGTGTGTGTGTGTGTGTGTGTGTGTGTTGTCATATTCGCTATTCACTAAGAAAAAGCATGACTGTGCCAGACTGTTTCGTCGGACTTTCACCGACTCATCAGGAGGTTGAACCCCAACAGTCTGCCCAGGATTCATTTGACTGTGTGTGTGTGTGTGTGTGTGTGTGTGTGTGTGTGTGTGTGTGTGTGCCTGAATGTGGCTCACAGGACTCCCATCCACATCCACAACCAGTTCAGGGAAAAAAGTTCAAAAAACATGTCTTTCGGGTGTTACTTGCCCAGAAAAAGTGTCGAAGTGCATATACACCATACAAATACACAGTGGGCATATCAATAATAAACAGGAGGGTAAAACGGCGTTCGGAGAGCTTCCATTACACATCTGCAAACATAATTTTAAGCCATAAAAAAGTGTTGAAACGCATATACACCATAAACATAAACAGTGCGCATATCAATAATCAACAGGAGGGTAAAACAGCGCTCGGACAGTTTCCATTAAACATCTGCAGGCAGACAGTGCGCAAGTTGAGACATAAAAGAACGAGGATGGCACATACCTCCATTACCAATACCACATCACACACACACACACACACACACACACACACACACACACACACACACACACACACACATGCACACGCACGCACACATGCACACACACACACGCTCGTGCAGGCAGACAGTGTGCTTGGGCGTCTTAGAAAAGCATGCAAGCACCCTGCACACGAACACCCACGCAAATACAAATAACAGTTGCAAACAGTGGCGCAAAAAATAAAGGGCATACAAACACACAAAGTAGGTCCTTGCTCGACCTTCCTTTCAGCCCTCTTTCCTACTGCCTATCTCAGGTCATCACCTCTGGTCAATGACACGTAGTCAAAACACGAAACTTGAGAATTCACAGAGCCCTCCATCCAACTCTCTCTCTCTCTCTCTCTCACACACACACACACACACACACACACACACACACACACACACACACACCGGTTGCTCACAGGTCTTCAGACTCCACTCCTCTGAGACCTGCTGTCTACTCTCTCGGGCTTATCCGACTCTTTACATGGCATCGAAATAAACAGCAATCCCCTACATGGTATGCAAAAAATGCCTCTTCAAAATTGCGCCTTTCTCTCTCTCTGTCTCTCTCTGTCTCTCTCTGTCTCTCTTGCATATGTCCCTCTCTCTCCGCAGCAGCCACACTTACTCCTCAACTTTCTACTATGTCTGCTTTCTTCTCCTCCAAGTGAGTCCAGGTACCCCCAAAAAACAGGGAAAAGAAAAAAAACAACGAGAAAAATGCACGCAACCCCTCCTAGAATGCGTAATAGCGTTCGCAACTGGATGACCCACAATGATTAGCACTCAGAACCACTGCGACGTTCATTCATGTTAACCCCTTCCTCTTCATTCCCTTTCCCCCCTCACCTCTGTTGATCCTAGGCCACCTCGCTAACACACAAACACGAAATTGCGTAATAATAATGGAGGGTACTGCATAAATCCACGCCGACATGATGCGCGCGTGGCCCTTTCTACATCGTGTGCCACGAGAAGTCACCATCTCTTCACTTATGGAACTAATCCCGATCGTTGTGTTCTTCTTCGGTCCAGGGATTTAATCTCATGCCCTAAACCCTAAACCCAGGACCGGTCGTTGCACAAATACCGCAATCACCGCATCGATGATAGAAGTATGGATGCTCTCTCTCCATTCTCATGTCTCCTTGCGTGCTCGCAATCACCCCACGCTGCTCCACTGAACACCAACCAACGGCACTCGTTAATCCCGACAATAAGGAATGCAGCACCACTACCGCACTGCTACCTCATTACTACCTCGCCGCATGACAGTTCTCGGTGATATGTAGGTTTCCCAAAGACGAACGACGAAGGATGTCTTGTCTAGTCTAGTTGCAGAAGAGCCTGATTGCGTTGTCTGCCGCGGCCGTGAAGAGCCATGGTTGCGTTGGATGGAACACGCAGTCCATGACACCCTGGCCATTGACAATCCCATGGCCCTTCAAGATCTTAACGGGCACGATGAGCGGGTTCTGGAGCAAGTCTGAATAAACCATGCCATGAAAGACATGCGCCGAGCCATCGTCGCCACAGGAAGCGAAAAGAGGATATCGCCGATGAAACGCGACAGATCGGATCGCATCCTTGTGGTACCTAAGCGTGCGATAGGGTTTGGTAGACAGATCCATGTCGAACCAACAGAGTTTGGTATCTTCGCTTCCGATGATCAGGTTGTCCCCTCCGGGATGCACATCCATGGACGATATGGACTGCACTCCCGTGATTAACTTCTTCGCTAACTGCTGCTTAACCAGGTTGTAAATCCGCACATGAGTCTTGGTCGCAACGAAGAAGAAAGGCCGCGTAGGATGGAACAGCACGCGAGCCACGCGCCCCTGGTTCTTCTTAAAAGGGTTCTGCGTCTGTTGCTTAGACAGCTGGTGCACCATTACGGATCTCGACAATCCATCGGGGGCCACGGTGGAGAAGTAATCCCCCTTGTGATGCCACGACGAGGATCGAACAGGGTACTTGTGCACAATCTGCAACGCTTGGCCTTCCACCCCTCCGCCGAGGTCCAATCGCTCCCATTCAACGAAGCTGGCGGCGGCGGCGGCGGCAGCGGCAGAGTCCTTTCCTCCTCCCTCACCTCCTTCGTCGTCGTTCTCCATACTTCTCCGTGGAGGTGGCTTGTCAACTAGCGTCAAGAGCTTATCTACGCTTTCGGAGACCTCTTTGCTTCCTGTTCCGGAGTTCATCAGCAGCAGGAAATTGCCGATAGACACGGAAAGGATGGGCAAGCTGGGATTAGGGTTCCATGCCACGTGCCGCACTTCGCCGCCCAGGTCGCACACTCTTCTACACCTTCCTGTCTGCACCTCCCAGATCCGGACGGTCCCGTCCCTGGACCCAGAGGCCATCCACTGACCTGATGGATCGGTGCAGATCGCTGACACCGCAGCTTTATGTCCCAAAAACTCCAGGAACAGTTGTGTTGGGAACGGCTGTAAATCCTTAGGCTTCGGCAGCTTCGGGATAAGCGTCTTGGGATCGATATTCAACCTCTTCTTGCGAGCCCTCGGGCAGAGGTACAGATCTAGACACCTCTCGAAGCGCTCCTTGATGAAGTTGCCGTACGACGGGACCAGACGCATTGAATCGAACCTTGCAGGAATGAACTTGGGTCGGTCCTCGTCGTCCATCAGCTCGTACGCATTACGCTCTTCTTCGGTGGGGAGGTATTCGAGTGGTGGGTTGTACGATTCCTCGTGGCCTGGAGGCTTGTTCTTGGGAGGAGGAATGTAGGCAAGTCCGTTGACAGTCTTTGAGGACACCTGGACATCATCTTCCCAAAGAAGATAGTACTTGGGCGCTTCTTTCGGCTTCTGCTCCTTGATCCAGCCCTTCCGGATCGCCCTTACCAACTTCACCACCGCCTTCGCCTCCCATTTCGATGGGATGAAACGCCGCTTAGGCTCGGGCATGTTCGACAAAGGATGGATGCCATCCTTGTAGTCGAACCAATCAACGTACGGCTCGTACGGATTGACCTCTGCGTGCGGAATCTTGCCCTTCCGGATGCGGTTAATGATTCTGATTTCCTCTTTGGTTAGTGTAATCTCCTCGTCGTTGTATTCGTCGTACACTTTCCTCCAGCTCTTGGGGTCGTCTGCTCGATCCAGAAACGTATCCAATTGATCCTTGCGCTGCTGCTTGATGATCTTCTTCCCCTCCCTGTCGTAGCCGATATGTTCCTCGTCCTTGTACCATTCAAGTGGCACATTGCCAATCGTGTTTCTCGAAGGCCTCTCATCTTCGGACGAATCGCTCTCCTGTACATGTGGCACGGGATCTCCTTTTCCTGCCTCCTCTTCCTCCTCATTATCGTCGATCCCCCGGTCTCCATCAACCTCTCCTCTCCCACCTCCCACATCAGTTCCCGCTCGCCGCTCCCTCGCTCGCCAATACGTTTCCACAGCGTCTCGGACATCAACGTCCAATCCGTCCTTTTCGTCGTCAGGTTCTTCCACGTCGCTCTCGCTCTCGCTCTCCCTCTCCCTCTCCCTCTCTTCTGCAGAAAGATCACCTTTCCCGCCGCCTTCTCTCTCCTCCTCACTCTCTCCCGACGACGATGCATCACCCCTTTCATCGCCACTGCTGTCTCCAGAATCGTGTTCGTCTTCGTCGCCGGTGTCTACACTCTCGTCGGAAGACAATTCCAGTCCGTCCTCATCACTGTCCCCATGATCTTCCACGTCCGACTCTGTCTTTCTTCCGTCATCACACACGGCTTCCGCTGGCGGCTGCGGTGGGGCAACATCCTGGGCAGCCCTCGTTCTTTTTGCAATTCTACCCATCGCCTTATTCACACCTGAGCTCAGCCGTCCCCCGACGTCGTAATGAATCTAGGGAAGAGAAAATCCTCTCCGCCCAAACTCCGTTGTGGCTCTCCGCGCAGCCCCGGTGCTGCTTAGCTTGCAAGCAAAATGGGTAGAATTGCAAAGAGAGCCGTCGTCGCGAAGAGGCAAGGGGCAAGGGGCTCTTTTCCTCGGTTCACACACACAGCCGCGAACCGATCAACCTCGGTAACTGGAAGCCCGCCCCTACCAGGGGCCATGGACTACTACTACCGGTTGCACGAGAATTGTTTTCGAGCACGCGCGGGTCCCTGCCATCCTGTCTAAGAATCTCATGGCAAAAAAAAAAAAAAAAAAAAAAAGTAGTTTGAATTATCAAAAAAATAAAAAAGAATCTCATGGCCATACTCTGTGGGCGAAGTGCTGGTACTCTAGTCTACCACCCTGCAGGGGCGTTGCCCAGGTAGTCTACCACCCTGCTGGCCATATTTTGTGGTCAGAGTGCCCGAACTCTAGTCTACCACCCTGCTGGGGCATTGCCCAGGTAGTCGCCACCACGTGTACGAGGTAATTTGGAATGGAAGCACTCACGCTACGCCTCATCACACGCTATGCCGTCCCCCTTGCCCTGATCTGAGCGTTGGACAAGTGGAACCTCAATTAACCCGCCGAGGGACACAATGTGGCTGATCTTATTTTTATATATCGAAAAGCTGCCTTCTCCTCATGAGGGGACAGCCGTATATTTTGCTCTCACCTGGCGTACTGCCATCTCATGGAACATATCTTTCTTTCACTGCCTACCTACCACTACTCCTAAGGTTATACAGGGGACCCCTGCAAGCATAGCTTTTTACCTCTCTTTGGTGAAGGGAGGTTACCTGTCTCGGTGGAGAGAGGTAACGGCATGTGTTGCCCCTTGCCTTAGCGTTTAAGGTGCAGGGTTGGGGCCGCCGGTGGGGGCCGGGCTAACACAAGGACCGAGCATTTGCCAGTAACTGTGTCTCCCTCTTCATCTTCACCCAACCCCATCGAGAAACAGTAGTATCTACGGCCACCACTCTCCCACACACCACTTGCAACCCACTCACACGCGCACTCACACCTGCGTTGGCTTTGTTTCCATCAAAATTTAGTTCATTTCACAACAACTTTTTCCTTTCGTCTTTGTCACTTTTACTTTGTTGTTATTTTGTAATCTTATTGGCATGATTCCCTTTGCATTAGCCGGAACCCCACCAGCAGCCCCACCCCATCTCTCACTACCGCTATTGGAGCGGGGGCCAACATGCAATCCCTTCATTGTGAGGTAGCTATGCTTGCAGGGGTCCCCTCTTTATAGCCTTAGCAATAGTGGTAGGTAGGTAGTGAAAGGGAAAAGAATTTGAGAGAATAATGTCATATAGTTAAAATGAGTTAGAGGCTGGGGACCTCTACATTACTGTGACGGACCCGTCGGAATGGCGGTCCGTCAGGATCAAGACGAACGGGTGAGGATGAGGGAGATGGAGATGGAGTTGGAAGGGACAACGCAGCTCCAAAGCAGACTCTACACGTACGTACTCCAAAATGTGTTGATGAAGAATAAGGTTGAAAACAGATTGCAGTTGGGGTATATCCCCAGCGGGCTGACTGGATTGTAGTGGATTGAAGTGAACAACACACGGCTTGTGGGGTCAGGCCATGAGTTGGTCCCACAGGCCGAACAGACAAATAGCTAAATAACCCTGGCTCTAGGTCAAGGCAGCCAAAGGCACGCTGCACGATCCTCGGACCTGTAATGGATCGCAAGAGTCAGAAACACGCTTCGCCAAAGCAGCGGAACTCTGCAACAATAAAGATGATAAATCTAGGATGGGGAGTTTATGCGATGCACGCTAAGCTACATAATGTAAAAAACAAAAACAAATGTTTGGTATACACATCCCAACTAACAACAGAAAATGAAATATAGCAAGATACAATCCTAAAGTCTTAGAGGCGATTGCCTCAGTGTTGAAAGGAAAAAATAGCAATATCTCATAAGATAATCTCGTGTCACTAAACCACTACCTTCTTAACCCAAAAAAAACGTACGTACGTTATATTCGAATTACCTCTGGAAATCGGGTTTTCAGAAATCGCTTGTGTTTTCCGGAATAGAACATACGTTCGAATATAACGTACGTACGTTGTATTCGAATACAACGTACGTATGTTGTATTCAAATTTTTAAAACTTTGATTTTTCAAAAATAATCAAAAAAATCCAAAAAAAATAAAATGTTATACAAAAATGCAATACAAACAACGTTGGCCTGAGGGTCTTATCGAAATTCACGAGAAAATTATAAAAATAAAATAAAAACGAGGGCCAAAATATTTTTTACTAATTTTTTCAAAATTTTGATTAAAAACAAAATTCAGTAAAAAAAAAAAAAAAAAAGTATGTTGTACAACCTCACAATGCAAACAACTTTTGCTTGAGGGTCTTGGCACAATTCCCAACCAAATTTGAGATAAAAACAAAAACAATGGCGGTACTACAAAGAGGGTGATGAGGGTAGTGGGTGAGGAAAACATGCACACCACTCACCGACTAAGAAGCAGCTAGATTTGTGACCAAGGAAGACAAGATAACGCTACGGTCTCAATGCCTATGCGATATCAAGGGAGAGTCCAACTGAGAGAGAACCAGCTAAGTGAGAATCATCCTGCGACACATACAAAGGAATGTATGAGGTAGGGTGGTGATGTGAAGTAGTAATGTCCAAAGTAGTTGAAGTCGTCGAAGTGGTTGATGGCGTCGATGAAGTAGGAGTCGGGTCGATGTCGAAACAGAGCCGCAAAACGTTGACATTCGAAAGAACCTGATGATGAAGTATTTGATAGTGTGAGTCAGTGGTATGAGATAGGTAGGTGATAAGAATGTCAGTCGTCGAGACACCGAGGGCGTCGACGAATCCGTTGTGGACGCGCGAAGGCATCCGTCTGCTACTGAAGAACGACCTCAGAGGGAGCGGACTCGTCCTTAGCGATCTCCTGAACCGAAGGAGGAGGACGTGAGTCAATCGGTTGAGTAGGAGCATATGTCTCAGCACGACGAGCACGATCATATGCATGCACCAACATCCTGACGTGCTCTAAGTGTTCGAGGGGCTCTCAAGTAGCCTCCTCATCAGGATAGTCTTTCCAACGCTTCATGTACTTGATGCGTGAAGGGGTATCGTCGGTAACAACGTGAGATACGATATCGGAAATAACAAACTCTTTGTGACCGTCCACCATGATAGGTGGAGGACGCTCATTAGGACGTTCGGCAAAAGCGCTCGGACGATCTCCGATAAGGATGCAGCAAGGAGATATGGTATACATCGTGTACGCGAGCCTGTCAAATGTAATCATGTAGTTTTACATAGAAGCTGACGGGACTAGCGACAGTATCAGAACCGACGACCTGAAGGATGCAACATAATGCTAAGAAGCGACGCCTGAACTTGTGAAGCGTATCCGCTTTGAGTTGCATGTGACGTGCATCAACAAACACATCGTCACCGACTTTGAATGAACGATTCGTTCGTGATCGGTTCGCTCACGTGGCCATGCGAGTCTGTGAGTCGACTTTGAATGAATGATTGATTCGTGATCGATTCACTCGTATGGCCATGCGAGTCTGGGAGTCGGTTAGATTCTCGTATGAGCGCTTCATAATCGTCGCAATGTGGACGATCCGTACGTCAAGCGCAGGACAACAAGTGTTTGGGCGTAACCGTGACGACTGTAGGAAATTTGCGGGTACATGAGGGTGGTAGTCGAGGTCACAATAGAATGACGACATCCCCGTGGCTGGCGAAATGGCCGAGATCGCAATAGAATGATGTCATCCTCGTGATTGGCGAAACGACGTGGTTGTATATAATCTCCATGTGGGCTAAGTGTAAGTCTCACTGTTGGTCATCACTAATAAACTTTCAAAGGATATTACCGAGAGTTTTATTGGTGACCTCAGTTTAACCATCCGTCTGAGGGTGGTAAGACGACGAGAAGCGAAGCTGGGATCCGTACACCTCGTTTAGGCGTCGCCAGAATGTGTTGGTAAAGCACGGGTCACAATCGGAGATGAAGCTCTGAGGTGAGCCATGATCTTTCACGACTCGGTCGAAAATGATGTCGGCGACCTCACTAACCCTAATATGATAGCAACACGGGATAAAACATGCACGCTGTCGGGCGCATCAGCCCGACACCGCACGGGGGCAGCGCAGGACCCTCCCGGCCGCGTCACTCAGGAGTTGGTTTTTAGAACCCTTCGTCGCAATATACATGGAGCTTCCACAAGCCGCTCCGGCCGGGTGCGCCAGCCATACCTCTCGTTAACCCCTACCCCGCCCGAGCTACCAGTCCACAGTACGAAAGCTAATCAGTTCCAATCGCAGAGGTGGACCAGCCGAAGGCGTTTCTCGTTCGCTGTAGCATAGGGGGTACGCGCGGTAATACGCCTCTACCGGACCCGCACGCGAACCGACATCTTGGGGGGGCTGAGGTCCCAAGCGCTACTCATCGTCGGTCGACTAGGACGCATCCCACACACCACGCGCACTCCACTTTACGAACACACATACACACAAAACAACATATATACGAAACGACACAATACCAACAACGCGACAACGCTCCTAGCCCCTCGGTAGCCAACCCATAACTTCCCAATGCGGAAATCGGATAGGCGTCGC